ATCATTGGTGTTGTTGGTCGTTGAGCATACGGACAAGTGTGAAGATTACGTGCTCAACAAGTTTCATTTCTAGTTTTGTTTTTGATTTATTTTTCTCTTATTGATTAGGATAAAGTTTAACAACTTCTCAGTTTAGATTTAGGATTAGATCGTATCTTTGTCGTTTTGGCTTTATAAAGAGTCTCAAGTCTTTGTATCAACATCATTGATTTGAAGTTAATAAGAAAACCCAAAAAGAGGCAATCTTAATTGCCCAAAGATCTTGCCTTCGTGTAGGACCTGAGAGGAGGACTCTCACCTCTATCCACTTCGTACCATCTCGTTTCGTGTCCGCTATCACCAACCACCCATCTCGGTCATCATTCAATCACATCATTCCATCAACCTCCCCTGCTTCCACGTGCTCTGTTTTTACGTTTNGAAAACAGAGGCTCACCTCTTGACAAGCTTCCGTTTCTACACCACTTTCAGTTCTAAATTACGAGGTATGATCTGTTCGTAATTCGTATTTCAATATTGAGAAACATCACTGTTTCTGAAAATGGAATTCTTATTTTCATATCCGATTAGAGAATTTGTGAGCTGATTTCTTGTTGTTCTGAAAGGACCCAGAAACTTCTGGATATCATTGGAAAGCTCTGAGCTATGGCTTTCTAGAGGCACCAAGTTTGTCTTGATCTGAGGTACGAGTAAGAAGTTATAGCTGTTTTCTTCTGACTGGTATAATTTGGCCGAACTGAATAAACATTTTAGGAAGTTTAATAATGGAATGTTAAACATGGGTTCCTAATCGCAGATTCGCAGTAGTTCATCCTTCTATGTTCATTCTTCCGTGTCAATCTATCCAATCTATAAGGCTAAGGTGAGGGTGTTGTCTAGATTACTTTAATACTAGTTAACAGTAGATGTTCTTACATGTTAGTCTAGGGATGGAATGTAATGTTGTTGGTTATATATGCTAAGTCTAGGGATGGTTGATGTTGATGGTTGCTATATGGTAGTTTGTAATATTGTCTGATGTGTGGAGACTATTTGATAAAGTTGTATGGTGCTAGGTAGAGAAAGAATGTTAAAGATTTAAAATGAATTGTTTGAGATTGTAGATATGATATATAGTTCTGCGGACGATCGCGTATGTAAGCCCGTTGCAGAACTTGCTTGTTGGACTACGGACGATCGCGTATGTAAGCCCGTTGTGGTCTAGGCCTTAGAGGACCATGACGGGGAGGACAGACCCAAAACGCGAAAAAGGGATTGGCTCCGCCGTGAATTTAGGATAAGTAAAGAAAGTAAAGAGTGTGAAAAGGAAAGAAAGTAAATAATGTGAAAGGTGAAATGTTTAAGTATGAGATAATGTATAAGTAAAAGAGATTATGNTGTGGAAATNTTATGTATGAATGTTATGTTGCTAGTAATAANTTGGGTGATGCACGTTTTATTTCTGGGTTAATGTGTTTGATTGCTTACTGTTTTCAAGTTTTAGAGTTGTTGTGGGTAACTTCCTCACTGAATAATTTCTTCCCGGAATTGTTCACCTCTTTTTTTCCTTTTTAGTTTTCGCATGTATGTTGCTTGTTGAGCAAGTTAGGGCACGAGACCTAGGGCTCAAAGTGATCGGGGATCGGGTGTCACAATCCAAGTCAAGGTTCTTGAGAACGATCAGCTTTACATTCGTGTCGAGTTGCCCGGAGTTCCAGATGACGCCGTTCGTCACAGAGTCGACGCTGTGAGGCAAAAGGTGGTGTTTTTCTCCAGTGAGACAGTCGACGACGGCAACAAGAAAGGCCCTGTTCGTGAGTACTCTGGATCCGCCGGTCTGAGCTGTGACTGCTGCGAGATCACAAACGTGGATGCCAAAATGAAAGACGGAATGTTGAGGATGATTGTGTCAAGGGTCAAAGTGAAAGACCATGAAACCAAATGTACACTCACGTTTCCTCCTTTCGCAGGTTCGAATTCGATCATCAAAACCCTAAACTCTTCACTATGCATATTTGAATTCTTGTTGTAACTTCTTCCATTTTCGGACAGGTAAATCAGGAAAGTTCGCGGAGGATCATCCATTTGTTGTGAAAGGACGCAAGAGAGCAAACGTTGGAGAACAATAGCAAATGGTGGTCTGTATTTTTCAGTGGATGTGCCTGGAGTTTGTGTTGATGACATCGAAGTGTTGGCTAATGAGAGTGAACTCAGATTCCATGCTGAGATCAAAAATGTGTATGAGCACGATGAGAGTGGCTTATGATGCACAGTTTGGAGTTCTCAAGGTTGTTGTTGCACCTCTTACCACTCCTCCCATTCCTC